CAGGCGGCGTGGAGGCGGTCACGGGGAGCCAGGGAGCAGGACCTTTTTTCCCGAAAGCTGCCCCAGGCCCTTGGTCAGGCCGGTGGTTCGCGTGCGGCCTGCAGCCTGGCTGTTTCCATCTGGCAGGGAGAAGACGGTGCAGCAGCACGCGGGCGAGACGGACCCCGTGACCACCATGAGGGCCATCCGCAAAGAGAAGGACCAGTTCAAGGTGCCGCGGGACTGACGGCCTGGGCTCCTCAGCCGCCGGGCCGCGTGGGCGCTGGGTGTTGAGGGGCCTTAGGTCACTCCCTCTCCGGCCAGCGGGCAGCACATGCCTCCGGGGCTTCGTTTCATGCGATCCCAGAGCCCACAGCAGTGTTACCCCGTGTCCTGACGCTTGTTCATGACGGAAGAAGTTTAAAAGTATTTATTCCCGTAGCCCCTGCCTGAGGACTCTTCTCCTTGTCTCCTGCTCTTGGGGGCGTCGGGGACATGGAGAAGCAGTGAGTGGGTGACAGCCACTGGCACGTGCTCTCGCCAATGCGCGGGGTCGGGTGCTTGCGATGTTGCTGGTCGCGGTGAGTGGTGGCTGGCGGAGGTTGGACGTGTGTTTAGCTGGTTCCTTGGGAGGCTGAGCTGCTTCCTGTGCTGACCGACACCTGCACCCCCCACGGGGGCCGCCTCCCGTCTCGCGCAGCCTCACGGGCGGCTTTGACCGGCACCTGCGCCCCCCACAGGGGCCGCCTCCCGTCTCAGGCTTTGCCTTACTGCTCGGCAGGTGCGCGCATCCCATGTCCTGTTCAGTAGTCACCTGCGCCGCCTGCTGTGTTCCCGGTTGATGCCTGTTCACGCCTGTCATCTCAGGGCTGGCGTCCCTGTGACGGTGCTCAGTGGGGGCTGGCGTCCCCACGATGGTGCTGAGCTGGGCCAGGGACAGACCTGGGAAACCACAGCCGGGTCTGCTCTGTTCCCACCTCAGCAGGTGCTGCCAACAAGGCGACCACTGCTCTCAGCAACTCCCACCTCGCTGGGGGTCTGTGGACGCCAGAGTGGGGTGGTCAGCGGCCGAGGGGCCCATTTCCTTCTCCTCCGTCTCCTCCCGCTCCCGGCTGAAATCTGGATTTCGTTGGCCAGCAGACGTTCTTAGGGTCCGTGGGTGCCGGAGTGGGGTGGCAGTGGCCGAGGGGCCCGTCTTTTTCTCCTCCGTCTCCTCCCGCTCCCGGCTTAGATTTGAATTTCTCCTCCGTCTCCTCCCGCTCCCGGCTTAGATTTGAATTTCTCCTCCGTCTCCTCCCGCTCCCGGCTGAGATCTGGATTTCGTTGGCCAGCAGACGTTCTTAGGCCAGAACCCTTGCTCTTCGGCTCCACATGCTGTCGCTTATTTTTTCTGTCAACCAATCGTTCATTTCTTTCTCTGCTGTTTGCACGCTAACGATTCTGCTGAAACAGTGAATGCTTCGTCTTAGTTTGGGCGGGGTGGCAGGAAGGGCAGCAGGGAGCAAAGGACAGAACCGAGAGGAGGTGGCACATCAGCCATGACACCCGGGCACGTGAGCTCCCCGTTCAGTAACTGACAAACCAGGAGAACTTCCTCAACACAGGAGACCACATGACGCTGGGAACCCCACCTGCCGATGACAGGCACTCCACCCATGTTTTCCAGGCCACACGAGCCCTGGGTCGTCTCAGGAGAACGACCTTGTTACAGAAACACACGTGGGCCGTTTCCAATGCATGTGGGTCAACGGGGAGTAAGGATAGGATGCAGAGGCTCCAGTGACAGATGGGACACCCTCCACCCACCGGGTGCCAGCAGCACCGCTCCAGTCGCTGCCACAGACGGCCCCAGACGCTGCCATGGTCCCTTCACGTCCCCCAACACTGCCAAGGGTCCCTGGAGGCAAAACCACCCCAGTTGAGAGCCACTGTTCTAGAAACTTCCTGCCCTGCCTCCCCGACAGTGGCCCAAGGAGTACATTAGCCCTCAGAACAAGGCCCGCTGTAAACAGACACACATGGGGAGGGACGACACAGGACGTACATGCAGGGGCCATGTGTCCATCGCGTGTGGCAAGCCCCAGACTCATGGCTGCCCAGGCATGACGCGGTCGGGCCGTGTGGATGCACGGGGTTCTCAGGGACTGATTTCCAGGAGGAGACCTGCAGGCCTCTCTTCCAGTCCCATTCCAGCAACTCTAAAACCTGTTCAGCATCCCGGCAACACACAGGCCTCCGGGGCCGACGGGGGCCAGGTGGGGGTGTCTGTGTGCAAGGTGCGCTGCCCGGGGATCGGACCCACGTCCCGTGCTTGCAAGGAGACGATTCCACTGCTGAGCCACCAGCACCTCCAGGGACGCCTCCAGGAGCCCACAGGGATGCCTGTTTCTTTCAAAATCAGAAGGAAAAAAAGTGCTGGGTCACAGAAAATGTCTTGTTATACATTAAAACATTCATGTTTCTACAAAAGAAATTGAGAAAGCACGGGCCATAGCTGCCGCAGTGCTTAGAGAAAAGAAAAATAAATAAAAATCCCAGGCATCCACCATCGAGAACGAGTAAGAAAAGCGGAGTGGATCTAAAGGAAGTGGCAGGAAGGAACCAGCTGGGATCAGAGAGGAAACCAACACAGCAGGAAAGGAAAACGACGGAAAGTTGACGAAAAGGTCGAAGTGGACAGACCCTTAGACTGACCACATGAACTCTCAAAATCTGAGCAAAAGAAGAGACATCAGCGTCGACCCTACGGAACTGACAGGGTGCACAGGCGGGCACGGTGAGACCTCCCGACCAACGATGACACGAGTCATTGGAGCCGACTGAACAGAGAACCCTGTGGACCAGAGGCCGCCTCCCTGGTGAGGACTTCCCCAGAGGACAGCCCGGGCAGGGTGGCTGCTCGAGGGGTGCCGTCAGCGGCACAGCAGCCCTCGACAAAGCAGGGCAGAGGAGGCCCGGGGGCGTGGGGGTAGTGGGCGCTGTCCAGCGGGCTCCAGCTCAGTGACCCGTGTACAACAGAAGGAAACGCCGACCGGTCCTGCGCCAGCCCCACCAGCCTTGCTAGACCGGACCCGTCGCCGCAGCCCCCGTCGGTCCACCTTGTCGAGGGCCTTCCCCTTCCCGGCTGACCCCGCTCTACCAAGCACGAGGCTGGTATCCCAAGCCAGACACAGAGCCCTCAGAAGAGGCAACGTTTTGAACATCTGTGTAAAAGTCCTTAACAAAACACTGGCAACCAAATTCAGCGACAAACGCCACGCCTCAGTGGGAGCCAGCCCAGGGATGCCAGCTGGGTGCCCACCCGGAAACGGATGCGTAAGCTACACTAATGAAGGGCAGGAGACCCCCAGGTCACCGTGACGGCGCAGAGCACGCTCTGGACAGAGCCCACCCCTGCTCACAGTACACGCTCTGCCACGACAGGCCCGCGACAGCCCCTCTGCTGCATAACAAAGTGGTCAGCCGTGTGAGCAGCACAGGCCTGTTACCTGTCTCGATGCCACAGCTCAGGCCTGCCAGCTGGGCTGCGTTCTTGTTGGAGACTCGGGGGAGGGGTGGGGTCCTGCGTCCTGGTCTCCTCCGGCTTCCGGATGCCTCACTCTTCTGTCCGCAGCCGAGGCAGGAGCGGGCAGGTCCTCACTGCACCTCTATTCCCGCTACTCGGGACCCTGGGGCCGCCCTGGGAAGTGGGGGTGGTCTTGCTGTTTTGAGGTCGGCTGGTTAGCACCCATAACCCCCCTGTGCCACGTAAGGAGGCTTCCGGGCTCTAAGGACTGGGCTGTGGACGTGTCATCTTTCTTGGGGGCTGGGGCTATAGCGCGTGCTCTCTACTCGCTGTATGCAAAGGACTGGCCTCTCCCCTCCAAGACCAGAAATAGGCAAAGACATCGTCTCTCGTGTTGACAATCGCACTGGACATGCACCAAGGTGAGAAAAGGATACAACTTTTAACGAGAACACAGACTGGAGAGGAAGGGGTGAGAACGCCTTTAATCACAGATGGCGTGATCCCGTACCAAGAGAATTCTAAGGGGTGCACACACACAGACACGTATAGTGCATACCCATGTGCACAGATGCATACTCACACATATATACTCACAGACACGCACACATATACACTCACATACAGATGCATACATATGCACCCACACATGCATGTGTGTGCCCATATGCACACAGGCACGTGTACATGTGTCTGTACACAATACTCACATGCACAAACATATACATACTCGTATATGCACACACAGACACGCACACTCAAGCTTCTGGAACTAGTAACAACAAAATAACACACAAGTTCTGTGTGATTCCAGGGTTCAGGATCAACGTAAGGAGATTGGCTGCATTTCCACGTGCTGACAACACCCCTTGCAGAAGGGAAGTGGAATAGGTCCCAGACCTAAGAGTGTCCAAACACAACACTGGCAATTGTTTCAGTTGAGAAATTCGAAGTGCGTCTCAGAAGATACCATTAAAACAAAAGGCCAGGCCCTGGCCGCCTGGAGCTCCTGTCTGGGCAAGGGCTTGAGGGCACAGTCCAGTCCCACAGCCCAGCAGAAAGCAGGCCAAGCGCCCGGTTTTAAAACAGGCAAAAGGACAGACAGCTCACCCAAGGAGAGAGAACAGACCATCCAAACGCTGATCCCACCTCCTGGCAACTCCTGTGACGGACGGGGGCTGACCCCAGGGCCCCTGCGTGTGGCCTAAGCATCTGCACTCAGCTACTGACTGAAAGGGAGCTGTGGACGAAAGCCTGGCCATCGTTTCAGCCAAGAAAGATGACATGGGCACGGCCACTGAGCGGGACCTTGGGCTCCGTGCCCAGCTGCCGACCCACAGCCCCGGCCGCCTGCTCCAAGAGGCCGCCACATAAACCAGCACACACACCTCAGCAGCCGTGTGCAGAACTGCAGACACCGGAAGCAACCAGATGCCCTTCAGTGGCGGACGTGGACGGCGGACCGTGGTGTGCGCGGGGCGCTTCACTCAGCTGTCACGGTGGGAAAAGCCAGGGCCCCTCAGCCTGTGGAAGCTGCTCGCCAGGAAAGAGAGACGGGGCCAGAGCCATGGGGGCCAGGGCCGGGGCTGGGGCCAGGAGGCAGGGCAGAGACGACTGCAGCATACGGTTGTGGGGGACGCACGGCATCACGCACTGGACAGAACCCACCGTGGCACAGATGCCCACCACCTGAGGAGTGCCAACCCGTCATGAACACAGGGCAGCCAGATACTGCTCGGCAG